TGGTGAACGGTGCCGCATCCACTTGGCTGCCTCTAGAAGAATCAGAGTCATCATAAAGTGATTTGAGTTTTGTTTGGTTGGAAGGGATCCTAAAGATCATCTGTTTCCAACCCTTTGCCACGGGCAGGGACACCTTCCACTAGACCAGGTTGCACTAAGCCCCATCCAACCTGGCCTTGAACACTTCCAGCAATGAAGCAGCGTGCCTCACCACCTTCACAGGGAACAATTTCTCCCTAATACATAATCTAAATCTGCCCACTTTCAGTTTGAACTCGTTCTTCCTTGTCCTATCACTACATGGCCTTGCAAAAAGTATCTCCTCCCTAGCATATTTCTATGAGTTCTGTTAAATTATTAAGTTATTCTAAAAATTACTGCTTAATATCTAATCTAAATCTCTCCTCTTTTAGTTTAGAACCATTCCCTCTTGTCCTACCACTAGCTGCCTGTGTAAAAAGTCTTCCTTCCTCTTTTCCACGAGCCCTTCAAGTACTGGAAGGCTGCAGTGAGGTCTCCCCAGAATCTTCTCCAGGCTGAAGGGCCCAAACTATCTCAGCCTGTCTTTGGAGTAGAGTAGTTCCAGCCCTCTGAGCATCTTCAGTGGCCTCCCTGAACCTGCTCCAACAGGTCCACATCTTGTGCCAAGGACCCCAGACCTGGACACAGTACTCCAGGTGGGGTAAGACTCTCCTGCCTTCTGCAAGAAGACAACACCAGTCCAGTGCAACATTGCACAGGGCTCTTGCCTAATCAGTACCAGTGATGCCTCTTTCAGTTTTGACACCACTTCTGGCAAAATTTGCACTGTTCACACTCACCCCACACAGTTCTGATGCTCTCACTCCATGCACACCCTCCTGCACCTCCACTCAGCTGGAAGCAGGTCAGCAAGGTCACGGCACTGTCCCCAATACCAGGCAGCTCCTGCAAGCCACTGACATCACGGAGGTGTCACCTGGCACCGAGTGTGAGACAGAGATGCTCCAGCCACTGTTCCACACTTGCCGATGTAAAAACCAGGCTCAGTTTCCAGCTGGGCACTCTGCCAAGGAGTCAGGTGAGTCACGGACACAAAGTGCTTCCTGACAGCCTTGCAGCTGGACACCTCCTCAGCATGGCTATGCAGGTGGCACAGCTTCCATAGGGCTGCTCACAGTCCCCAACGGGCTGAGTGACTTGGAATGTCTCAGACCATGTCTCCTTTGGGTAGACCACAGCCCCTGAGCCTCATATTTCTTTTGGGGATGGGGATGGCATCAGAGAGGATCAACTGCCCGAGCAGGTGTAGCTGTCAGTACCTGGCAGTAAACTGCACTGGGCAGCAGTTGCAGGAGTTCCCTGTGGACATCCCTCTGGACACCAGGCAGCTGATTCTGGCAGTAAACAATGTCTCGTACCTGCCGGCAGTGGAATTGAGCTTCCTGGCTGATTTGGTCTACCTGGACTGCAGGAAGAACCTCTTGGGGGATGACCTGGATTTCACTTTCTTTGGCATGGCCAAACTTGTCTATCTGGACCTCAGCTTCAACAACCTCACACAAGTCACCCTCAACACATTCTCACACCTCCTCAGCCTGGTGGTGCTGAAGATCTCGGACAATCCCAACCTTGTGGCCATCGAGAAGGATGCTTTTGCCAACAACACCTGGCTGAGGCACCTGGATGTGAGCCGGACTGGTTTAACATTCCTGGACACCAGCACTGTCCGGGACCTGCCCAACCTGAGGTTTCTGGGGCTCAGTGACAACCTGTGGCACTGCAACTGCTCCTTTCTGGATTTCATCACCTGGATGACGGAGAGCAACGTTCATTTTCCAGGTGAGGGCTGTGTGAGCAGGACCTCTCTTCTCCTTAATCCTGCAGCTCTGTGTGGAACAGAATGGGCTTTTTGTTCTCTTTCCCAAAACTTCAGCTCATGGGACTGTGCCACTGCATGTCGACTGTGGGTCACTTGTTCTGCTGTTGCACAAACCAGGGATGGGAGCAGCTGGGTTACACATGCTCCACACACACAGAGTCACACTTGTTCGTACCCTCAGGACAGTCAGAGAAGTGTAGCCTGTAGCTAGGATGTTGCTGATGCTCTAAACACCTGGCTCCAGTCCCAGGTGTCCCTGTGCCTGCAAGTCACAGCACCCTGTGGCTGCAGTGCCAAGAACAAGGTGCCCAACACAGCTCTGGGGAGATCTGCAGTGGGAAAGATGCTGCTCTGAATTTCCTGCCTTGTCTCCATCCCAAAATCAGCTGTATTGAGAGATTTTACAACTAGGCTGTGGAGAGGCTGAGGCAGGGTGATCACCAGTTCTCTTTCCCAGGAAAACAGTGGTCCCAAGGGCAAAGCTTTGTCCTGCAGCTGCAACCCATGAACTCCATTTTTCCAGATTGAAAAGAAACACAGCACATACGAATGAGGAAAGCTTTGGTTTCAGTAATGGTGAGGGTGCTGCAAAAGAGAAATTGTTTAAGAAAGTGTATCCATCAGATAAGAAATGGCCACGAAAGAGCCCAAGGGGAGAAAAGGGAAGGGCAAATGGAAGCTGGTGTTAGGACAGAACAGAATTAAAAACATCTCTGTGTCTTTATTAGATGTAGTAAGTTCCCTGCAGACAGTAAAGTGGGTTTTTTCCACATACAGTTTACAGGCAGTTATGGAACAGTGTGATAAAGTACAGTTCTTAGCAGTAAGATTGGAGATAACCCACTGAACCCTGGAACAGGAGGAGAATAAAACTCAGTGCAGGAAATTGGGGAGGGTAGGAGTAGGAAAGGCAGTGGTAGCAAAGACTTGGGGTAAGAGTATGGATTCTTACACTGTGCTCTGGAAAAGAGGAAAGCCAAAGAAACCAGAGAGCCTGCAGAGGCTGTTGCACTTCCCTGCTCTGTTGGGTTGTGCTGTGTCCTGGTGAGATGCTGTGGGAGAGCTGACAGGAGGCTGTGTGCCTCCAGGAGTGCTGCTGGAAAGTGTGCACAGGTTGGATACCCTATATCACAAACACCAGCTGCCTTGGGCAGGGAAAGGCAGCCCTAAATCAACAGAGCTCTGGAATCTGCTGCAAGCAGATTTCCAATTTGGCCTGCAAAAATCTACTGATGTTTCACCAATGCCTGTGCACCAGTGTTTTGGGCCCAGTGGATCTGTGCAGCCTAGGGGCTGACACAAAGCTGCCCAAGTCTGAATGGATTTGGGTGATAGATAAAATCTCTCCAGTTTTACTCAGGATCACGAGAGAGATCAGCGTGAACAACCACAGCAGCGATATCAGCCATATACAGTACACTGTAATGTAATATAGATCCTCTGTGGCTCACTCTCCTCCGCCATTTCCTTTCCCTCAGACCTTTCCATCCCATGCATCAAGCAGTGCCCAACCTGTGTCCAGCACAGTGACTGTGTATGGGGGTGTCCAAACCTGCAGAGGAAGGAGGGGGCCCATAGCTGAGAGCACACCCCATTTCCACAGGCACCACACTCATCCTTGGAAGAGTTGGCATTTGTTTTATCACTGCAGATATTGCAATACAACAGGGTGTAGTTGTTATTTCAGTGCAACTGAATCATTGATGAGTTGCCTCTTTCTTCTTTGCAGAGCAGGTAAAGCTGTGCCTAACTACAAACCAGCCCAGTTGTCAAATGCACAGCAGCCTCATTATTCCAGCATAATTTATGCTATATCACTTCAGAAGGTGTTTGAGAATAAAAAAACCCAACACACACAAGTGCTCTTATACTAAGATGAAAGTGCTCCATCAGCAGAGGTGAGCGGTGCAGGAACAGCAGTTTGCTGCAGCAGCATAATCCAGTGGGCAATATTTTCCTATGGGGGCAACATTCTTGTAGCTTGGGAATTGTGATTTGGCAAGGGTTTGGCTGTCAGATTTCACCCAAGCCACAGAGGGAGAGGGATGTGAAGTTTGTAGGCATTTTCCAGGTGTTTAGTAAACACTTCCACCGTTTTTCTAGCAGGACTCCTGTTCACTAAAGCTTTTGGCACAGACTAGAGAGTCTTTCTCCTATTTCTCCCTCTGCAGATGCTGACAACATCACCTGCCACACCCCAGAAGGCCTGCGTGCCCTGAGGATGCCAGCAGTGAAGGCACAGCTCCACTTCAGCTGCCTGACCCAGCTCTACAAGCAGGACTATGTCTTTCTGTGCCTCGTCGGCCTCTGCATATTCCTTGCTGGCACCACAGCAGCCTGGCTAGCTGGAATCTGTGCTGTCATCTATGAAGTCCATGTTTCCAAGGGAGAGGAGGAAGAGGAGGATGAGGACGAAGACACAGCCACTTAGGATCAGCCCTTTCCAACTCCTGCTGTGGGAATTGAAGGCAGGCCCTTCCTGCCTGATTTCCCACATGATATTCCACTCTAGATGCTACTTTTTTTGGAAGTGAAATAAAAACTGCAAGAGAAGGAAGTATCTGTGCTCCATTTTCACTTGCTGTGCTATCTCTACTTGTCTTCTGCCACTGAGACTCAGGACAATGGCAAAAAATTAATTTTGTGGGGGTGTGAGAGGTGTGCACAGAGCCAGGCATTTCCACTCCTGCTTTACCTTGAGGCCACAGAAAAGTAGGGACATAGGGATTGGCTTGAAGAGCTAAAGTTTGAAATATATGAAAGGCCCTGGCACTGTGCTATAGCCAGACAGGTCACCAGGCCCTTCCTGGCCAGAAAGCCCAGCACAGCTTACTGGGACCAGCCTAGAGAGCTTATGGGAGCCCCAGGGAATTACTGGATTACTGGAGAATCCAAGACCTTTCTGCTGTGGAAAGGCAAAGAGATTAAAAACAGGTCATTTAGGGGCCTGGAATCCCACTGGTTCTTGCTTTCTTCCCTGTTACACTGGTGACAGCAAAAGAACCCTATGTACCCCTGCAGCCAGACTCACTGGTTTATGAACATTGACAGAACTGGAAAGTCCAACTCCAGTTTTGTATCACATATCCCTAAAAAGGATTTTATTTTTCATGTAAAAACTATTACTTACACACACTCCAAATATTCTTGGAAATGGCTTGTGTGTCCATGCCAAAGTGCCAGGGTTGCATCTACAGATGAGGATAAAGGGAGATGTAAGTAAGCTCCTTTGTATCACCAGTACTGGGAATTGCCAAGGGAAGTATCTGCTTACATGAGCAAGCACAGCACCTCCAATGTGTGAAACACTGGCTGTGGCATCTGACACTAGCAGGATCTGGTGAAATATAAGGGAAAAACAGGAGATTTCAGCCAGCACAGTATGACTTACCAAACTTAGAGCCACTAAACTGTGAATCAAAACTGAGATCTGTCTTAGCTATGAGGAAAAGTGTGGATGTGCTGGAAGGCAGGAGGGCTCTGCAGAGGGACCTGGATAGGCTGGAGAGATGGGCTGATTCCAACGGGATGAGGTTTAACAAGGCCAAGTGCTGGTCCTGCACTTTGGCCATAACAATCTACTCCTGCACTTGGTGCTGGTGAGGCCACACCTTGAACCCTGTGCTCAGCTCTGGGCCCCTCAGTTCAGGAGGGACATTGAGGGGCTGGAGCAGGTCCAGAGAAGAGCAACGAGGCTGGTGAAGGGACTGGAGCACAAGTGCCATGAGGGGAGGCTGAGGGAGCTGGGGGTGTTCAGCCTGGAGAAGAGGAGGCTCAGGGGAGAC